CCGGCTCTTCCGCCAGTTCCGGTCTGGCGACGCCAAGGGCCCCCGGGAGGTCTGCAGCCAGCTGTACCGTCTTTGCCGCCAGTGGCTGAAGCCAGAGCGGCACACCAAGAGTAGGATGCTGGACTTGGTAATCCTGGAGCAGCTCCTGATCGTCCTCCCGCCAGAAATCAGGAGCTGGATCCAGGAGTGTGGAGCAGAGAGCAGTTCTCAGGCTGTAGCTCTGGCAGAAGGCCTTCTCCTGAGCCAGGCAGAGGATCAGAAAGCACGAGGTCAGCAGGTGAGAACATTTCATCCAGTTGACCCAAAAAAGTATGAGAAGATGTGGCAAAACTCTTGCTCACTATTTCTGGATATCTTCCAAGGAGAGATGTCCTAAGCCTCTTGCTGCCATTTTTCCTTATTTATTCCTTTCCAGGGACAGGATTTTTTTAGAGGACTTGTGGCTGATTTCCCTGAGACGCCGAAAGCTCCATCAGAATCAAGACAAAGAGGTCTACAGATGTGGATAACCCAGGAAAGTGACCTAGCTACTGCTCTGCAGAGTAAGGATTAATGGGCCTAATTTCTACTTGGACATGTTATGCAAGAAATCCTTACACTACCTTAAGTTTTCTCGACCCTCCTCTACAGAAGGTACTTGTCTCCTGTCCTTTTATGCAGTTGGAGGATAGCTTTCCTTCAGTGTTTACGTTTTGCACCAATGAAAAAGAGACTGCATGAAAACCAAGCTGCATCCGACAGATAAATGATGTCATAATATTCATGTCAAGTTTAGCAATGTGTCACTCAATCTCTGAGATGAGGATCATGTTTCTTTCTTACAGACGATGGGAAAAAGTCAGCATCATGCAATCAGACTTTGCTTTATGATGGAAAGAAAACCATTTCTGGGCATTCAGATCAGGTAAGAAGAAGAACAATTAAATGGCAGAACAGCCAGATCAAATAATCCCCTTTCTTTCCGAATGGGCATTTGAACTCAAACTCCAGTTTGTTAACTTTATATTCTGCTTTTCCTGCAGAAACTCAAAGGTGTATGTATAGTATTCCCTCTTTCAGTTGTATTCCCAGAATGACAGGTAAAATGGGTTGAGCGAAGGACAGCCCCAGTGGTGCTCTGAAGCTTCCGTGGCTGAAACATGCATGTGAGGTTTGACTTTCTCTGGTCTCGTAAACAGGTTATAAAGAAAGGAGGGGAAATGAGCAGTTGTTAGCAAAGCTTCTACATTTGTTCCTGAGTTTTTCAATAATGTTTTATTGCTTTTTAATTAATAACAAAAAGGAAAAAAACCTCACAAAATAATAATACACAAGAAGAAAAAAGTGGTATACTACACTGTTTTTATTTTTTTGTATTTTTGCTACTTTTTTGTAATAGCACCTTTTAATGGTTATTTTCCTTCTACATTTGTTCTGGAGTTGATTTTGCTTTCATCTCTGTCAGCTTCTACCTCTGACCAGGATGTTACCAACCATCCCAAGGTGCCACCTGTGAAGCTTCCAAAGTTTAATGTAATCCTCAACTCCTCCCTGAATGAATGGTTGGATTGTACAGATAAATTGTCCTTTATCTTGTTTGCTAAGAAGAAACACTTTCCTTTTCTGTCAGAGTCTGGTGTGCTTTAAGGATGTGGCTGTGCATTTTTTGGAGGAGGAGTGGGCTATCTTGGTTCCCGAACAGAAAATTCTGCACAGGCAAGTTATGGAGGAGAATCTAGAGATTGTGGCCTCCCTTGGTAAGACTTCTATTATTTATTGGGGCAAATAAAACTATTGTATTATTACTTGTGCAGATCTTTAATTTTAGAATGCTA